TGCTCATTTTCTGTATTTCCACATAAGCAGTTATGTTTTTTATGTCTTTAAACATTATGTTATATTATTTTGTGCACTGTCATCACTTTTGTCTCTCATGGTCCTGAAACTGTAATCTTATTGAAGGGGTGGATTGAGACCATCTTCTGGGTCTTCCGTAAGACAGTCAGGTTATTAAGTTTATATTGACTGGTATCTATTTTTTTTCTGTTGGAAGACCATCAAAAGTCGAGGATGGATCAACAAAGATACTTTGGAATACTGTCAGAAAGTATCTCTTGATCTGCTCCTGTTATTGACCATGTTACCTGTTGTGCATGTTTAAAAATCAGTGTTAACTGACTGTGTTATTATAAGCATTATTTATTATTGCATCAAAATTGACAAAATGACCTATTTTGCATCTTTATTTTCTGTTTTTTGTCTGTACATTTGACAGCTTTGCTGCTTTGTTTATGTACAGACACAAATGTGTCTGTACATGTAGCCGTCACCTAGCTGCGTCTGTCGTCGCTGTTGTGCACTTTCACCGATAACACGATAAGTGGAAAACCATTTTACTTTTTGGCTTGAAACTTACAAATATGATGAATATTCATAAAACGCAGGTCAAGTTCGAAAATCAACCTGATCGGGCCATTTTTATGGAAGTTATGCTGTTATTTTACTATTTCAGCATATGTGCAACACCGATAACACGATAAGTGCAAAACCGTTTTACCTTTTGGCTTGAAACTTACAGAACTGATGAATATCCATAACACACAGTCAAGTTTGAAAATCAGCATGGTCGGGCCATTTTTATGGAAGTTAAGCTGTTTTTTTTTTCACTTTTTTCAGCATATATGCAATACTGATAACACATTTCAAGGAAAATCAATTGGCCAATTGTCTTGAAATTCACAGGGTTGATCAGATTTACTGAAATACAGATGAAGTTCGAAAATAAGCTCGATCGGTTCAGTTTTGGTGAAATTATGCCTTTTTTTGTATATAAGTGTTTTTTTCCTCGGATTTAATTCTTAGGCATGTTAACAATCTCATTTGTGAACTAATTAGTAATGTAAAAATTGATGGTCATTATGCTGTTAAGCATTATGTAATATTGCATCAAAATTGAAGACAACCCCATTTTAGACAATGCCTACATAGTGACCATTAAAGGAAAACCAAGTCACTTACTCTTCTCAAACTTACAGAAATGTAGCATAGGACCAAATTTTAGGTTCAGTTGGAAAACCTGTTATATCGGTTAACTTTCTTGGAAATTATATAGTTTTTTGTTACAGTTAAAATTTTCACATATGGACATTTTCAAGGTTGGCTTGAATTCCATTGCTAGTCACATTTTTTGAATATCTATGGTACATTTACTTTATTATTAAAAATTGATGGCCATTGTACTGTTAAGCATTATGTTAAATTGCATAAAAGATGAAAAAAAAAACTATTTTGGATAAGCTGCCGGGATGACCATTAAGGAAAAACCATTTTACTTATGATATTCCAACTTACTGAAAAGTTTCATAGGACTGAAGTGTAGCTTGTGTTGGAAATCAGTGTGATTGTTTTCTGTTTTGGAAGCAATGCAGCTCTATAGAGTGCTATATGGGGCCTCTGTTTATGGATGGTGGTAATTGTCCCTTGGGATAATCGCTAGCTAAATTCAGAGCTATAAAATCACTTGCCTAATTAATTTTCAAGTGCCCATTAAATAAGATTACATAAAACACACGTTGAGATTTCCCATTCAAGTCCTATAGGTTAAGCTCTCTTAACTGTGTCACATAATTAGGAATTGGCAATAATTATGCAGGTAAATATTGTTTAATATTGCAAATAAGTTTACAAAAGAAAAAAATTTGTGTAATGCCAACATTAATGCTATAGATGAATAACAGTGCCTTATTATCCTCAAACACATTGGGGATATTCATATCATGTTAATACAGCAAGATTAAAAGTTTGAATAGCAGCTTTATTGGATTTTTTTTTTTTTTTTTTTTGTGTGTTTTCTTTTTAATTTTTTTTCCTAAACACTGGCATTTTCAACTCCCATCAACCTGATGCTCTTCAGATTTTATGTATTTCCCCATAAGCAGTTGTATAGGTTTTTATGTCTTTAAACATTATGTAATATTATTTAATGCAATGTCAACATTTTTCAAATATTGGGATTTTCATTATGTGAATTTGAACTCTCATGGTTCAGAAACTGTAATCTTATTGCAGGGGTGGATTGAGGCTGTCTTCTGGGTCTTTCAGATGACAGTCAGATTTTAAAGTTTACATTGACTGGTATCAATTTTTTTCTGTTGGAAGACCATCAAAAGTGGAGGATGGATCAACAAATATAATTTGGAATACTGTCAGAAAATACCTTTGGATCTGCTCCTGTTATTGACCATGTTACCTGTTGTGCATGATTAAAATTCAGTGTTGATTGACAGTGCTATTATAAGCATTATTTATTATTGCATCAAAATTGACAAAATGACCCATTTTCTGCATTTTTATTTTTTGTTTTTGTCTGTACATTTGACAGTTTTGCTGCCTTGTTTAGCATATATGTAACGCTGATAACACATTGCAAGGAAAACCGATAGGCCTATTATCTTGAAAACTACAGGTGTGATCAAACTTATTAAAATACAGGTTGAGTTCCAATATCGGCTTGATTGGACAATTTTTACAAAAGTTATGGTGTTATGATGTGTCTGTACATATAGCCATCACCTGCGTCTGTCGTCGTTGCCGTCGCTGTGCACTTTTACCGATAACACGATAAGTGGAAAACAATTTTTTATTTCAGCTTGAAACTTACAGAATTGATGAATATTCATAATACGCAGGTCAAGTTTGAAAATCAGCATGATCGGGTGACTTGTAGGAAAGTTATGCTGTTTTTTTACTTTTTTCAACATATATGCAACACTGATAACACAATATAAGAAAAACAGATAGGCCAATTGTCATTATACTCACAGGAGTGGTCAATCTTACTAAAACGCAGGTTGAGTTCATATAAATCAGCATAATTGGGCCATTATTTTAGAAGCTATGCTGTTTTTTCACATTTCCTTAGATTCAATTCTTAGGCATGTTAACAGTCTCATTATTGAACTAATAAGATACGTAAAAGTGTTGATTTGATATTTCCTGCATCTTTACAACATTGTTAGTTGATTATGTAAAAATGATGGTAAACTTTTTATCGTGTATTGTGTAATAAAGTATCAAAAATGGAAATAAACTCGTATCATTGCAGCATGTCAGATTCAATCATCCACTATGTTCAGAATCTCAGAATGGAGGAATTTGGACATTTAACACTGTTCTATTGATACTTTTCCCATCCCATCAATTTTCTTAGTTGGTCATATAAAAATGGCAGTAAACTGTTTATTTTGTTTTATGTTAAAGAAGTGTTAAAAATGGAAATAAACCCATTTCAGAACAGTGTTGTCTTGTTTACATTTTGGCATTTTCAAGATGTGACTTTGAAGTTCCATGGGCCTGAAGACCTTTGCTGGTCACATTTTCTGAATATCCATGATACTAATATTTTATAATTAAAAATTGATGGTTATTATGCTGTTAAACATTATGTAATAGTGCATCAAAATTTGAAGAAACCCCTATTTTGGCAATTTAAATGTGACCTTGAAATTGACCTTTGACCTACTTTACACGTACCATAACTGAACTTTGCAACTTTTTAATGCTTTTATTTTCAAAACTGGCAGAGATACGCACATAGTTACTATTGAATTTGAATAGAAAGTCATACAAGGCAATTTACTGTGACCTTAAAATTGACCTTTGACCTGCTTTTAACCATGAACTGAACTTTGCAAATTTTGTTCCCTTTTATCTCCAAAACTAGCAGAGATAGGTCCATAGTTACTATTGAATTTGAATAGGAAGTCACATACTGGCAATCTAAGTGTGACCTTGAAATTTACGTTTGACCTACGTTTTATCATGAATTGAAGTTTACAAATTTGGGTTCCCCTTTATCTCCAAAACTGGCAGAGATAGGTCCATAGATGCTATTGAACTTGAATAGGAAGTCATATACTAGAAATTTACTGTGACCTTGAAATTGTCCTTTGACCTACCTAAATATGAACTGAACTTTGATTGCACCATTTTTAGTTATATATTTTTTTGCATATTTTGAGAATTCTTGTTGATTGCATTTTTTACAGCTTGTCAAGCACAAGACTGGTGGTGGTGTCCCTTTTTTGTGTGTGTGGGGGTCTATACGATCGCGCTTACTCCAGCTGGTGGTACAATATTCTGAGGCGGTATAACCTCTCTGATCCTCTAGTTTCAGACATTGATGACTGTGCTGAGAAGCCCTGTAAAAATGATGCTACATGTATTGACTTGGTGGCCTCATATAGATGCATATGCCTGCCAGGGTTTACTGGGAAAGACTGTGAAACGAGTAAGTAGCAAATATATACTTTTTTTAAATGGGATCATGGCTATCTATGAGAAAATTGTTTTAATTTGAAATCATTAATTTTGTGAAAACCACAAGGCTAGTTTTGTGTCTGTAATATGTTTATGTGATTTTTTTTTCAGATATAGACGACTGCTATTCAGATCCATGTGTCAATGATGGAAACTGTACTGATCTGGTTCTGGATTACACATGCACTTGTCCATCAGGGTATACTGGGAAAAACTGTGAAACTGGTAAGAATTATGAAGTATACATGTCTTGATATTTCATCACTAGATCTTAAAGGTGGGCACACCAACTAAGTATTCAAAATAGATTACTTTTGGTGTACAGAGATTTACAAGCAATAAAACCTTTGAGAGTATACCTTAGAAAACAAGTAATTATATGTGGATTACTACAAAGGATGTTTCATGGTATTTATGTTAATTTCAGACATTGATGACTGTGCTGAGAAGCCCTGTAAAAATGATGCTTCATGCACTGACTTGGTGGCCTCATATAGATGCATATGTCTGCCAGGTTTTACTGGGAAAGACTGTGAAACGAGTAAGTAGCAAATATATACTTTTTTTAAATGGGATCATGGCTATCTATGAGAAAATTGCTTTAATTTGAAATCATTAATTTTGTGAAAACCACAAGGCTAGTTTTGTGTCTGTAATATGTTTATGTGATTTTTGTTTCAGATATAGACGACTGCAATTCAGATCCATGTGTCAATGATGGAAACTGTACTGATCTGGTTCTGGATTACACATGCACTTGTCCAGCAGGGTATACAGGGAAAAACTGTGAAACTGGTAAGAATTATGAAGTATACCCTTACGAAAATTTCCTATAGGATTTCCTATAGGATTTCCTATAAGNATTCAAAATAGATTACTTTTGGTGTACAGAGATTTACAAGCAATAATACCTTTGAGAGTATACCTTAGAAAATAAGTAATTATATGTGGATAACCACAAGTAATGGTATTAATGTTAATTTCAGACATTGATGACTGTGCTGAGAAGCCCTGCAAAAATGATGCTACATGTATTGACTTGGTGGCCTCATATAGATGCATATGTCTGCCAGGTTTTACTGGGAAAGACTGTGAAACGAGTAAGTAGCAAATATATCCTTTTTATGTATAGACACAGATGTGTCTGTACATATAGCCATCACCTGCGTCTGTCGTCGCCGTCGTCGCCGTGCACTCAGCGATAACACGATAAGTGGAATACCGTTTTATTTTAAATGGGATCATGGCTATCTATGAGAAAATTGCTTTAATTTGAAATCATTAATTTTGTGAAAACCACAAGGCTAGTTTTGTGTCTGTAATATGTTTATGTGATTTTTGTTTCAGATATAGATGACTGCAATTCAGATCCATGTGTCAATGATGGAAACTGTACTGATCTGGTTCTGGATTACACATGCACTTGTCCAGCAGGGTATACAGGGAAAAACTGTGAAACTGGTAAGAATTATGAAGTATACATGTCTTGATATTTCATCACTAGATCTTAAAGGTGGGCACACCAACTAAGTATCAAAATAGATTACTTTTGGTGTACAGAGATTTACAAGCAATAATACCTTTGAGAGTATACCTTAGAAAATAAGTAATTATATGTGGATTACTACGAAGGATGTTTCATGGTATTTATGTTAATTAATTCCAGACATTGATGACTGTGCTGAGAAGCCCTGTAAAAATGATGCTACATGTATTGACTTGGTGGCCTCATATAGATGCATATGTCTGCCAGGTTTTAGTGGGAAAGACTGTGAAATGAGTAAGTAGCAAATAAAAGTAGCACCGATAACACGATAAGTGGAAAACCATTTTACTTTTTGGCTTGAAACTTACAGAACTGATGAATATCTATAATACCCAGGTCAAGTTCGAAAATCAGCCTGATCGGGCCATTTTTATGGAAGTTATGCTGTTTTTTCACTATTTCAGCATATGTGCAACACCAATAACAAGACAAGTGCAAAACCGTTTTACCTTTTGGCTTGAAACTTACAGAACTGATGCATATTCATAATACGAAGGTCAAGTTTGAAAATCAACATGATCGGGCCATTTTTATGGAAGTTAAGCTGTTTTTTTCACTTTTTTCAGCATATATATATATGCAATACCGATAACACATTTCAAGGAAAATCAATTGGCTAATTGTCTTGAAATTCACAGGTGTGAATAGACTTACTGAAATTCAGATTAGGTATGAAAATAGGCTTGATCGGTTCAGTTTTGGTGAAATTGTGCCTTTTTTTGTATATAAGTGTTTTTTTCCTCCGATTTAATTCTTAGGCATGTTAACAATCTCATTTGTGAACTAATTAGTAATGTAAAGGTGTTCTTTTGACATTGTCATATTGTTAGTTGATTATATAAAAATGATGGTAATCCTCTTATTGTGCATTGTGTAATCAAGTGTCAAAAATGGAAATAAACTCATATCTTTACAGTTTGTCACATTCAATCATTCACCATGTTCAGAATCTCAGAATGGAGCAAATTGGACATTTGAAATTGTTCTATTGATATTTTTCATATGTCAACAACTTTCTTAGTTGATCATTTAAAAGCAACAGTAAATTGATTATTTTGATATATGTTAAAAAAGGTGTTGAAAGTGGAAAGAAATTCATTTCAGTACAGTTATCTCTTGTGTACATTTTGGCATTTTGAAGTTGTGACTCTGAACTTCCATGGGCCTGAAGACCTTTCCATGTCAAATTTTCTGAATATCCATGATACTTTTATTTTATTATTAAAAATTGATGGTCATTATGCTGTTAAGCATTATGTAATATTGCATCAAAATTGAAGACAACCCCATTTTAGACAATGCCTTCATAGTGACCATTAAAGGAAAACCAAGTCACTTGCTCTTCTCAAACTTACAAAAATGTAGCATAGGACTAAATTATAGCTTCAGTTGGAAAACCTGTTATATCGGTTAACTTTCTAGGAAATTATATAGTTTTTTGTTACAATTAAAATTTTCACATATGGACATTTTCAAGGTGTGACTTAGTCTTTGAACTTCCATTGGCTTGAATACCATTGCTAGTCACATCTTTTGAATAGCTATGATACATTTTCTTTATTATTAAAAATTGATGGCCATTGTGCTGTTAAGCATTATGTTAAATTGCATAAAAGATAAAAAAAACAACCTTTTTTGGACATCGCTGCTGGGATGACCATTAAGGAAAAACCATTTTACTTATGATATTCTAACTTACTGAAAAGTTTCAAGGACTGAAGTGTAGCTTGTGTTGGAAATCAGTGTGATTGTTTTCTGTTTTGGAAGCAATGCAGCTCTATGGAGTGCTATATGGGGCTACTGTTTATGGATGGTGGTAATTGTCCCTTGGGATAATCACTAGCTAAATTCAGAGCTATAAAATTACTTGCCTAATTGATTTTCAAGTGCCCATTAAATAAGATTACATAAAACACACGTTGGGATTTACCATTCAAGTCCTATACATGTAGGTTAAGCTCTCTTAACTGTGTCACATAATTAGGAATTGGTGATAATTATGCAGGTAAATGTTGTTTAATATTGCAAATAAGTTTACAAAAGAAAAAAAATTGTGCAATGCCAACATTAATGCTGAAGATGAATAACAGTGCCTTATTATCCTCAAACACATTGGGGTTATTCATATCATGTTAAGTGCAAGTTTTTCTAACCACCAGGCAAATCAGCCAAAAAGCGGCAAGGTGGGGTTCTCACAGAATACACTCATTTTGCCCACAATTAATCACCTTTGTGACTTTAATTAAACTGTAAAATATTAAAGCTTTCCGTTGCGTTATTGTTGAGATACTGCCACATGCATATTTCACTGCCTCGCGTGGCTCCCGTCTCACTTTTCAGCTGTGTGAGTGGTGTATTTTTCACCGAAGTTTGCTTCACAAATGTGCATCAAGTGATTAATACATTACTTCGGTCAATACCACAATTGAAAGATGGATATATAATCTTTATAACGACAGAGATTTATATCATAAATCCGTTGCTATGGTTACAAACTACCGAGGTTATTTGAGGTCACTTGATGACTGCCGTAGATACCCACCTTGTCAATAGCCTTATATCTCCACTAGTAGAGCACCTTAGATAATATCACTGATATTTACTGAAAATATGGACAAGGGGCCTACCATAAATTAAAACACTGGTATGGCCTTTTCCCTACAAATTTTGCAATAGCTACGCAAATTCTTCTATTTTCTGGCTACATTATCGTAAAACATTTTTGCTTCCCACAGTTTCGATTTGCATTCAAAAATGTTTAAGTTAATTTCAACGTTAGTTAGGGACTTATTAACTGAAATAGTCTTCTGTAGTTTTTATTTATTGATTCCTGGATATTAAGTATATGCCAAGTTCAAATACGGGGGTAAACATGCATTCGAAACTAAATTCGTGTAGGCGGCCATGACAGTTTCAAGTAGCAGTGGTGGAAAACGTGCGATGAATGCACTGCAGATTTTCCGAATTTCAAGCAGCAAAGCGCATACTTTGTTGTTCTGTAGACCGTTACAAAGACGGAAAGGTTGTGCGATACTCAGGAGATATGACTAAGATGATTGGGGTCACCTCCCGATGCTAAAAGTTACATGCAGAGTGAGAGGTTAATGAGAGGCAGTGTCATCATCAGAGGAAATAGAGATTGAGCTCGACTCAGTCGTGTGTCCAGCGCATCGTCACATGCTGTGGGTCCTTTGGGGAGCTGCAAGAACACGTCAACTACATCTTCGGACCAAGTAATTATTGTAGGACTTTTCTTGCTCGGACCAAGGGGGAGCTTTCTTGCACAGTGTATCCAAATTTTTATCAAGACAAAGCCAAAATATTCAGTTTGTTGGGCCCAGGTAATTAAAAAGGTGACATTCGTCACATCTTTATAATTAATTAACACACCGAATTCACATACAGACAGAAGGTTGATAATGGTATGATATCTGTGTTGTTTGAATTAAATATGCATAGTAATTAGACAAGTGAAGCTAAGTCATCATCTAAATACTGCTATCTCTGACCCTCAGAACCACAGCAAATTTATTATTACATAAAGTGAAAAGAGCTTATATTTTGTACTGTACATATTAGCAGTGTAAACTTTTTTGTTTGTATGAGCAACAAGTTACAGAACCCTCACAACTAAATAATGCTTTTGTAGATCATTGCTAGTGATTAAAAGAGTAACAATCATATCACAATTACATGAATAATATT